ATCATCACCTTTGTCTCCGGTTCTGTTCATAATTTTTATGGACAGGATTTCTAGGCGCAGCCAAGTGGCGGAGGGCTTTCGCTTTGGTGGCCTCAGAATCTCATCTCTGATTTTTGCAGGATGATGTGGTTCTGTTGGCTTCATCGGGTGAGGGCCTCCAGCTCGCACTGGAACGGTTCGCAGCCGAGTGTGAAGCAGCGGGAATGAGGATCAGCACCTCCAAATCTGAGGCCATGGTTCTCAGCCGGAAAAGGGTGGAGTGCCCACTCCGGGTCGGGGATGAGTTCCTGCCCCAAGTGGAGGAGTTCAAGTATCTCGGGGTCTTGTTCGCGAGTGATGGGAGAAGGGAGCCGGAGATCGACAGACGGATTGGGGCTGCAGCTGCAGTAATGCGAGCTGCACCGGTCCGTCGTGGTGAAGAGGGAGCTGAGTGTAAAAGCGAAGCTCTCAATTTACCGGTCGATCTACGTCCCTACCCTCACCTATGGCCACGAGCTGTGGGTAGTGACCGAAAGAGATAGGGTGAGAAGTTCGGCCATCCGGGAGGGGCTCAGAGTAGAGCAGCTGCTGCTCCACATCGAAAGGAGCCAGCTGAGGTGGTTCGGGCATCTGACAAGGATGCCCCTGGGCGCCTCCTGGGTGAGGTGTTCCAGGCATGTCCCACCGGGAGGAGGCCCCGGGGCAGACCCAGGACACGCTGGAGAGATTATATCTCTCGGCTGGCCTGGGAACGCCTTGGTATTCCCCCGGATAAGCTGGAGGAGGTGGCTGGGGAGAGGGAGGTCTGGGCCTCTTTGCTTAGGCTGCTGCCCCCGCGACCCGGCCCCGGACAAAGCGGATGAAGGATGGATGGATGGATGTTAACAATCCTGAAAACCTGCCAGTCGGTGCAGTCCAGACACACCTGCAGATTCTCCACAGCCTCATCAGTCCACTGCTTCAGTGTCTTCACAAAAGCTTTAGAGAGTTTCAGTTTGTGCCTGTTTGCAGGGATCAAGTGAACCATGACATGTCTAAGAATCTTGATGTAGTGTCAGGTAGGGCTGCCACAAACGATTATTTTGATAGTTGACTAGTCACCGATTATTTTTGCGATTAGTCGACTAATCAGATCATGCATCCATTGGACGTAAAACGTACAGCTTATTGCACCAGCAGCATCTGCTCTTATATAACTATCATTAGCTTACAGCTTTAAGTGTTTAAGGTCTGTGCTAACTAAAAATAAAGACAAGATGATAGTTTATTAAATTTTAATGAAATTTGCAGATTGTTTCGGTGAAGTTTAATAAACTCCTTGCTATCTAAAATATAACAGGACACCGGAGTATATTCTCGAGCATCTCACACTTCTGATAATCAGTGTCTGCTTGACGTTTATTCAGCTGTGTAAAAACTATAACTTTAATCTCAGCCAAACCGATTTACTCAGGAACAAATAAAATACAAAAAAAAAGCCAAACAATAACATTTTTAAGTTATCTAAGTGACTTATATATATGTTTAACCTGAGTAGCGAAAGACGGCGGTGGGTTTGAAAACGATTTGCCGGGAGTCCGGTGTTCTCACGGCCTAGTGAGCTGGGCGATATGAGATTTTTTCATATCACGATATGTTTTTTTCATTTCAGGCGATAACGATATCTATCACGATATAAGCCAAATAACTATATTTGTAAGATTTAAATGTGCCGTTGCTCACAAGTAAAATGTGAAATAATCAGCAGCTTGTTTTTATTTAAATATTTATTTCCCATAATAAGTTCAACAGGGTAGATGTACTTAAGGAACATGAGACTTTTTCAGATAAATAAAGGCAAATATTGCAAACTACACAAAAGGCAGCCGCTAAAGCGTTTAAGTTTCAAAATAGAACAAACGAAACAGACTAAATTGTCAATTCCACTTAGAAACAAAATATTAATTCTAAAAATAAATCTTAGTTTGTTTTACAGAAGAACAGACAAAACTGACTAACTTTTGTCAATATCAAATAAACTGAGAACTAAAAGGAAATTCTCAATCTCTCCTTGTTGTATAGCTGAGCTTTTCAAACAGTTTTAACAGTTACTTTAGTCTGACAAAAGCCGAATGACGAATTAGCGCTTCCAGTCAGAGACTGAGGCTACGTCCACACGTACACGGGTATTTTTGAAAACGGAGATTTTCCGTTTTCGTTTTAAAAAATAATCCCGTCCACACATAAAGGCAGAAATGAAGGAAAACGCTGCTATGAACATGCCAAAGCAGCAGGTGGCGCTAGATTCCTAACCGTGCACGAAATGTTGGCCAATCAGAAGTCTAGAAGCCTCGGTGGGAAAAAGTAAACAAAGCTGGGGCATAGAAGCAGAACCGAGCGTATGTGTGGAGGACAGTAACTGTGTGTATATGTAAGCATTTAAACACTGCAGAGAGTAGAATTAACAGTAACAGTATTGTAGAAATTCATTTCACCGAAACAATAACGTGGCGCACAGTGTGACGCATGCACCAGTTTATTGTATTTCCAGACTTGCTTTCGGCACAATTTACAGTGCACGCTACTCTGTTTTTTGTCAGACTTGAAATAGCCGAAATACCTTCACACTACGGAACTTCTATGGCTCTTCCGTTCGACAATCTCTCCGGCGTTGGAACCATCATCTGTTTTCTCTTCGGTCACGCTCGGTTGATTTTTCTAGTCGGCACACTCATTTCCTCCATTACCCGCTGGCTGCTTCCCAAACAAACACACGTGCGGCTTGGCACTTGTGCTGTACGTAACAAGTCACGCGACGTGACGCTGCGGCTGTGATTGGTTCGGCTCTGCGCTACTTAATTTGGATTGGCTGACCTTTTTTTTTTTTTTTTAAGAGGACAAGAGCGGCGAGGTCTATCGCGATAGCTTAATTTCTCTATCGAGTAAAAGTTATATCGCGATACATATCGTTATCGTTCTATCGCCCAGCTCTAGGCTCTAACGTGACTTGCCCGGTAGTTTTGAAAATATGTGGTGTCTTGATAAACTGAGCAGATATTTGAGGTTTACACAGCTACATTCTCGCCTGAAAATATGTTAAACGTTTATTTTGTGACCCAGAAAGAATAATAAGAGTAAATTAAACTTCTCCGCCATTGTTGGAAACTGAGCTGGGCTGCGCTATGAATTCTGGGACACGAGCTCCTTCTTCTTCGGGGTTTAACGGCAGCTGGCATCCTTGTACATGCAGTGCTGCCATCTTCTGTTTCAGTCCGTTATTACACTCTTAAATCCTACTACTTATTCCTGCGTCTTTTGGGATCTTACAAAGCTTCAAACGAGTCGTCGACGTATTTTGATTTTCGACGTAATTGTGACTAGTCGACTAATCGTGGCAGCCCTAGTGTCAGATGATGACCCTCTTACTATCAGCTCACCTTCAGTTTTTCAAAGTTTTTATCCATTGTTTTTATATAAAATCTATGAGGTTCAAATGAAGCACCAAACTACAGTTATTCAGTCAGTGGAGGTTCAGTAGTGCAGTTTCTCACCACTGTTGTTAACTGGAGGCTGACACACTGACTGAAGACATTTAGTTTGAGTGGATTTGAGCTTTCCATCTCAGCTTCTTTTGGTCAAGGATGAAATACATATAAATATATTTTTTGTTCCAGCTGATCATCAGGAGGAGACGAGCCATTTAGACTCAGCTCAGCCACTACAGAGGAAACAATGACTTCAACCCAAAAGGTGAGCAAAAATATCTCTGTTATTGAACCTGTGTGCAGGTTACAACTCTCATTGTAGCTCATAATTGTAATGTGATAATATCAGCAGAAGGTGGCAGTAACCAGTGTTGGTCAAGTTACTTGAAAAAAGTAATCAGTAACTAATTACTGATTACTTCCCCAAAAAAGTAATCCCGTTACTTTACTGATTACTTATTTTCAAAAGTAATTAATTACTTAGTTACTTAGTTACTTTTTAAAAACACGATTTACAACCTGAATAGGTGATAAAGCGATAGATCTTTCAGCCCAATTCTACTTTTTCTGCATAATCCATCATACAAAATGTAATCAAATGGAAAAGTCTCTTTTTTAAACTTGTTTTATTAGTTTTAATCTTTTAACTTTATGCATCAAGCAAAAATTTAATTATATGCAACATTCTCTGACTGGAAGAAATTTAGTTTAACATTTAAACCTATTTTCTGCACATTCCAGCACATAAAATATATTTTTTTTTGTGTTTACACTCAGTCTTTCAAATAGATGCAAGTAAAACACAGCAGAAAATAAATAAAGTCAAAGACTCAGCGGTCCTGTTGCTCTATTTTCACCTGTAAAGCAGGAGTGGGGTAGGCGGAGGTTTACCCTGGTGCAGGTGTGCCGCAGGCGGTCAGTGGAAGAATCCGCGAGTTTCTCTGTGAGTTTCCCATTACGTCGTAGCACTCGGTGCTTGTTGGAAGTTTAGGGTTTTTCCTGTAAAAAGAAGTTTTCTTCCCACGCACAACGGACACTAATGTTTTTGTCACTTTTTATGGAATCAAACTCAAAGTAAGGTCAGTACTTCCACGCTTTAAACGCTGCACGCTCATACTCTCTCCCGCACTCGATATATTATCCATTGTTGATCTGCACACAGCTGTTGCCACGAACGTCGCACTCGCTTACGTCACTGTCATGAAACATTATCGCAAAGAAATCACGGTTTTAGTAACGCAGTAACGCACCGTTCCTACGGGTAATCTAATTACCGTTTTTGCAATAGTAATCCCTTACTTTACTCGTTACTTGTAACGCGTTACTGCCCATCTCTGGTGGTAACACACCTACAATGTGTTTGTTGACATCTTTGATTCCACTAATGGAGTTTCAGTTTGTTCCACGACTGCATTTCACTCACTGCCTCTGTTTGTATCTCTGTCACTGCAGGACCAACATGGAGCGAGAAGTCAGCGCTCTCAGGAGGCCGACAAACCTCACGGAAGAAAGAGAGAGAAAACATACAGCTGTGATGAGTGTGGGAAGGATTTTGCCTGTTCTAAACACTTGAAAACACACCAACTCATCCACAGTGAAGTTAAAGTGTACAACTGTGACGAGTGTGGAAGATCTTTTACTGATCCTAGAAACTTAAAAACACACCAACTCATCCACAGTGAAGTTAAAGTGTACAACTGTGACGAGTGTGGAAGATCTTTTACTGATCCTGGAAACTTAAAAAGACACCAACTCATCCACAGTGAAGTTAAAGCATGCAACTGTGACTTGTGTGGAAAATCTTTTGCCCACACTGGAAGCTTAAAAACACACCAACTCATCCACAGTGGAGTTAAAGCATACACCTGTGACTTGTGCGGGAAATCTTTTGCCCAACCTCGAAACTTAAAAGCACACCAGTTTGTCCACAGTGGAGTTAAACCGTACACCTGTGATCAGTGTGGTAAAACTTTTGCTCGCAGTAGCCAGTTACAGTGTCATCAGGTTACCCACTCTGGAATTAAGGCATACAGCTGTGACATTTGTGGAAAAACTTTCAGTCGTGTAGAGACCCGAAATAAACACCTCCGCATTCACACTGGACATGACGTTTGGTGCTGTGATCAGTGTGGCAAACTGTTTACAACACATGCACGGTTACAAAACCACAAGTTTACCCACACTGAGGAGAGACCTTATAAATGTGACCTGTGTGAGAAGACTTTTAAAGCTCCACATTACCTGAAAGAACACCAACAGATCCACACCAGGAAGAAACTCTGCAAGTGCAGTCACTGTGAGGTATGTATGTATATTCTTGTCTTCTAATTTAAGACTGACTGTTTGGATCAACTCTGCTCATTAAATTATGTTCGCATGTAGTAATTCTACTGGACTCAATGGCATCTACTGGAATTTTGAAAACGTCAGTAAAGAACATAATAAGTCTTCAAACTAAGAACAATCATTACTCTAACTTTGTATCCATATTTGAGGATTTACAGTTGCACTTGTTCTGATTCATTATTTAAATTATTTGTAATTTTCAAATCTCAACAGGACATAAAAACTTTATGCCAGGGGTGTCAAACTCATTTTAGTTCAGGGGCCACGTGGAGAAAAGTCTATTCTCAAGTGGGCCGGACTGGTAAAATCATTGTATATATAACTTAAAAACAACAACTTCAAATTGTTTTCTTTGTTTTAATACGATCAACATAAAAATAAAGCTAGAGCCTGTGGACAGTATGTTCAAAATAGTACAGGCACAACATGGCTATTAATTACAAAACACCTCAAGTTATTTGAAAATTCTGAGGACTAAGAACATACAAGCACACAGTGCCTCAGTGATTCACAGAAGTATATCACAGATCACAGAACTACATCAGGGTGTCTCATGCAGCACTTGCAGTGGGGTTGCATAGTTTATTTGACTCCTAATACCTGGCATCTTTTAGCTTTCACCAGCTCATCAATATCAGGCTTCACATCCTGAGCGGCAGCTAACTTCAGGATGTGATTCGAGTGCCTGTGCGTGAGCCTTGAGCGCAGTTTTGTTTTATTTATGCTCATTACAGAGAAAACTTGCTCACAAAGATACGTGGTTCCGAACATGCACAACAGTTTTGTAGCGAGGGCTGTCAAGTTGGGGTAACCTGGCAAGAGATTCTGATAGAATGTGTTCAAGCCAGCTGCGGCAAATTTTCCCTTCAAATCCGAGTCACACTGCAAGTCTATTATTTCAAGTTGGATCCTGACAGGCAGATCAAAGGGATTCACGGTGAACAGCGAGCAAAAAACTTTGAAGTCTTTCTCCAGTTCACCAAAAATCTGAAATCGTTGCTCAAACTAGTAACAGTCCCGTTATTTTATCTTTAAACCGCTTCATATCTGCCACACTTTGGAAGTGAGCTGCATCACCACCAGCGAGCTGCGTCTCCCACAATAACAGCTTCAACTTGAAAGAACGTATGCTGTCATAATACTGCGTGACAACGTGCAGCTGTTTGTTCAAGTTATTCAGGTCCTCTGTAACATCCACCATAAATGCAAGGTGCTGCATCCATTCTGCGGAATGAAATTCTAACACTGGTTTGCCCTTTTCTTCCATAAACTGTTCAATTTCTTCTCGTAAATCAAAGAAACGCCTCAGCACAGCACCTCGGCTCAACCATCTTACCTCAGTGTGGCATGGCAGACCATAGATGTGGTCTTTCTCTCTGAGAAGACTGTCAAACTGACGGTGATTGAGGCTTCTGGATCGGATGAAATTAACAGTTTGGATGACCACCTTCATGACGTTATCCATTTTCAGTGACTTGCAACACAAAGCCTCCTGGTGCCAAATACAGTGAAAAGTCCAAAAATCACATCCTCCATTTGCAGATTGCACTTTATCTCTGAACTTTTTTACAACGCCTGCTTTGAGGGCGCACCATCTGTAGCCAGGCTAACAGCGCGGGACCAGTCCACCCTGTCCAGCGCGCCGATGAGTGCAGTGAAAATATCAGCCGCGGTCGTTGTATCTGTCATCGGTACCAACTCCACGAACTCCTCGGTGACGGTCAATGTGTCATCAACTCCGCGGATGAAAATTGCCAGTTGTGCAACATCTGTAATGTCCGTGCCTTCATCAATTGCAAGTGAAAACACAATAAATGACTTTATTTTTGGCTTCAACTGGCTGTCCAAATCCACTGAAAGATCAGAAACCCTGTCGGCAACTGTGTTTCTTGTCAGGCTGATATTTGCAAAGGCCTGGCGCTTTTCAGGGCACACAATCTCCGATGCCTTCATCATACATGTTTTTACAAATTCACCCTCACTAAATGGTTTTGAAGCTAGTGCAATTTCGTTAGCAATGAGGTAGCTAGCTTTCACTGCAGCATCACTGATGTCTCGGCTGTGAGTAAACACAGACTGCTGTTTCTTCAGACCCGCCAACAGTTCATTCACCTTCTCTCTTCTCCGCTGTCCTTGAAAGTTGTCATATTTGTCGGCATGAAGACTCACATAGTGGCGACGGAGGTTATATTCTTTCAGCACTGCAACATGCTGGGAACACACCAAACATACAGCTTTCCCATTCACTTCCGTGAATAAATAGGAGGATGACCATTTTTCTTGGAACACTCTGCACTCTGCATCCACTTTTCTTTTTTTTGACAGAGACATATTGGGGCGATAAGGGTGCCAAAGCACATCAGGTTTAAATTTCGCAGGCAAAACAAAGTAGCTCACAATTGCTATTGCGCCATCCAATGGACACAATTGGAACAGCAGTTTCTTTATTGAAAAATTGCTGCTCATTTTTATACTTTACAAAATCATCTCACGGGCCGTTTTAAACCCGTTTGTGGGCCTGATCCGGCCCGGGGGCCGTACGTTTGACACCCCTGCTTTATGCACAGCACAGGTGTCCAAACCTTTTGTAAAAAGGGCCAAATTTTATAAAGTGAAGATGCACGGGGGCCAGTGGTTGCTTTTGACATTTTTTTTCATAACAATGTTACATGTAAAGACAGGGTGGGCCAGTTATATGGATACACCGTAATAACATGGGAATGGTTGGTGATATTAAAGTCCTGTTTGTGGCACATTAGTATATGTGAGGGAGCAAACTCATCAAGATGGCTGGTGACCATGGTGGCTATTTAGAAGTCGGCCATCTTGGATGCAACTTTTGTTTTTTCAATAGGAAGAGGGCCATGTGACACATCAAAAACAATGGTGCTTGGTTTCAATGTAACTTTATTCTTTAATGCATTACTTTTAATAGTCTATAGGTTTTACTTACATTTCCTCAAACTATGGTGAGCCTCTGTTTGCAGCCAGGGTACCAGTGCTTGTTGCTGTTCCTCTACATCAAAGACAGTTATTGTAGCCCACTAAGTTGAGTGTTATAATGTAAACAGAAGAAATGTAATTGGACGTTGGCAGAGATGCTCTTTATTTAAGGCAACGTTCAGGATGATAAAGTTGAAGGAATTCCCTGACGTACACTGTCTTTGTGTCTTTGTTTAGAAGCAGAGCGGCACAGATGGATCCAGTTCTCAACCCTGTCGTCACTGTGGTGGTGGGAAAGACTTTCGATGTGACCTTTGTGGAAAAACTTTCACTCAGCAACGAAACCTAAAAATACATCAACGTAGACACACTGGAGACAAAATGAGCTACTGCAAAGAATGTGGGAAAGGCTTCCCCACGTTAGGTGATTTAAAAAAACACGAACTCTTCCACAGTGGGGTTAAAAAGCATGTCTGTGACCAGTGTGGGTCATCCTTCACCACTGCAGGTGAGCTTAAATGTCATAAACGAGTCCACACAGGAGAGAAACCATACAAGTGCAGACACTGTGACAGAAGCTTTTCACATCCAGGGTCTCGTAACAAACATGAAAATAGACACATTGAAGAGAACTTCATCTGTGACCAGTGTGACAAGAGTTTTAGGAATCTCACTACATACTCCGATCACAAACGATCCCACGTTTCAAATAAACTCTTTCACTGTTACCAATGTGCAAAAACGTTCACTTCATCATCTGCTCTGTGCAAACATCAGCGTCATCATGAAATCACTCCCATCTCTGGATCACAATGAATCTGAAGATCCTCTTCTGGTTTCTGGGTCAGACTTAAAATCAGATCAGGCTCCACAGAGTTCAGCTGGAATCTGCTGCAAAAAGTGTCAGCTGATGTCAGACTTGGATCTGATGATGTAGCTTTGATTTCTGGACCTGCAGGGAGTAATCCTGAATGTTTAATTTGGGAAGGTGTAAGTAAAGATATGCACATCAATTTTCTTTCTTTTAATTTTGCATAAATAAGATAAGATAACCGTTATTTGTCCCACGTGTGGGAAATTTTATTACTTTATTTTATTTATCCCTCTTACATTCAAATAATTTTCCTTCAGGAAACAATAGTGTTTAGCAGTAGTGCTTGTAATATAAATCTATAGAAATATATTTTACATCCAGTTACTATTACAGCAAAAGTTCAAACTTCATGTTTAAAGAAGAACACTGCAATAATCTAATAAGTTCAATATTTTTCTAGTTTTATATTTTCATTGTTTTTGAAGTCTTTATTTCTATTTTACTGTTTAAAATTCTGTTTGAATCTGAATTGGCTTTGGCTGCATTTCAATGCAATAATTTATAAAGAAATTTATACCACAAGGTGGAGCAGTGAGTCTATTTATGCTTCATTTAATCAAGCAAAGAACACATTCATATATACAGTGTTGGCCTGCAGAGGGTAAAGTATTTTTAGAAAATTTGGATAAAGCATCAAAGAACTGTTAGAGATTAAAGTTCTCAGAGGACTCTGTTGTTGTTTGTCAGCTCAGGGCTTATTTCTAATTGGTTCTTTAATTGTTTAGTGTGAGGGACATGAGTGATGTCTCTGTCAGCAAAAAAACTGCAAAACTGACAGTGATAAAGATGCTAAAGAAAACCTTTAAAACATTTTTTCAGTAGTCAAATGAATAAATCAGTTTCTATATTCTTATTGTGCAGTGTGGAGGGTTTTTTTTTTCTTCTTTTTGTTTTTTCTTGAAGGATAAAGTGTCATGGTCCTGAGTCTGAGGACTCAGTGTTTTGTGTTTCCTTATGCTTTTGTTCATTCCGAGTGTGTATTCTGTTGTGATTTTGCTATTTTTTAGGTTTCTGTTCTTTGCCTGCCTGCTCCCACTTCTCTGTGTTCCCTCTGTCTGTCCATGGTGTTATTGTGTCTGCTCATGAGTCTGCCTGTCAAGTTCAGTGTCCTGTCTGGTTCTCTGTGTCTGTTAGTTTCCTGTTTTATTCTGAAAGTTCATGTCTCATGTCAGTGTGTTCAGTTTTACCTCTCCCTGTCTCGTTAGCCTAATTGCTCCCAGCTGTGTCTCCCTCCTGTGGCCCATTCCCTGATTACTCCCCGTGTATTTAAGCCCTGTGTTTTCCTGTGCTCTCTGTCACGTTGTCTGTTTAGTTCCATGTCAGTCTGCATTATTCTTTTACCCGGTATTCATTCTGCGTCTCTCTGCCATCTCTCTTTGTGCATTTTGCTCCTCCTCCCGTGAGTGTCTGCTTTAAGTTTTGTTCTTTAGTTTTCCCAGTTTAGGTTTGTTTACTCCCTGCTCTGCTCTTCCTGTTTTGTCACCTTCTCACCGCTGTAAATAAAAACTCACTCGCACCCCAGCCAGTACCTGCATTTTGGATCCTTTTTTCCACACGACTGCCCCCAGCCGTGACATAAAGGTTACTCTTTCAACTTTGGTAAATTACTCTCCAAAGGAAACGCTTGCACTATAGCGTAAAATCTGGGATCTCCATCAATTGGTCTCAGAACTGAAGAAGTCCCTCAAACTATAGGTGAAAATGCTTGAAGAAACACAAAGAATTCCAGTCACCATTGCCTTTTCCTCTGGTTCCTCTACAAATATTTGGATCGGGATCTGCCCACCCTTGTCTCCCGGATCATAGCTGAGATCAGCGTGAACCACGTGGGTCTCTGCTCCCTGATCTGTTTCCTGTGTTTGGAAAGAGTTCCAGCTTCATCGCGGAGTTTCTACCAGGATGAGATGCTGGAAGCAGATGTGACCTACCTAGCTAGAGAAGCTCTCGTGGAGGCTGGCTTAATTTTGGAGGAAGAAGGTAGACGGCAGTTAGCATAAGGTGGCCTTTGACTGGACTACAATGAATGAATTGACGACAATGAAAGTCTGGTTGGAACGCCAAGTTGGAAACGGGCGATAGGGGAAATTGGTTCAAATGAAGTGAGTGCTTCAAATAGTAAGAGAGGAATTCAAATTAATATTGAACCTTAAGAAGAAGAAGAATGAGAACATACGATTAAGTCCGATTGTGGTATCAAGAGAACTGAAAAAGATGATAGAAAAGGTCAAACAAGCAAGAATTCTAAGGTATGGGAACCTGTTGATGTCAGGTAAGACAGGAGGAGATAAAATAATGCGTACTGAGAGGATATGTAAAAAGACTGTTGTAGAAAGGAGGCCTGAGGGAGAAAATAAAACAGTCATTTATGAGATCAGTCGTTGTTGATCAATGGACATGATAATTTGCATATTAATGATCAAGGAACTGACCTCACAGCCTATTGTTCAGCTGAGACTGAAGTCACTTAGATGAGAGATTAAATGTTTCTACCGCTGAAAACACTACGTTCAGATAAACCAACTTTTTAGGATTTACTTATGTGGATGATAAATTAATATCATTAACCATCTCTGTGACATAATATTGGGTCTGTTCTTTAGATCTGTTGTCTAACTTCTTTCACTTGGGATATCACCTCTCTCGCGACATTCATCATACTCCAGCCTCTCATTATCACCTTGACTGCATCCCAAACTAAAGTGGGCTCAACCAGGCTATTCTTATTCTCTTGTAAATATCCAATGATTTCTCTCCTAGTGTCTTTTATAATACTTTCATTGTTTAGTATACTCATGTTCAGTCATTTTACTCCTGGATAAATGGATTGTCTTATGGTCAGAGACATCTGCTGTGTTGGTAGAAGACTAATTGTTCTGATGCCTGTTCACTACATTCATAAGAAAGTAATCAATACCAGAGCATATATAATGAGTAACTGAGAAGTGTGTATCTCCAACAGTTGATTCTGTTCATCTGGACGTAGCGTTTTGTGGAAGAAACGTTTCATCACTCATCCAAATGACTTCTTCAGTCTCAGCTGACTGCAGGTTTCCCCAATCTTATAAACAAAACATTTGCATAATGACTGAAACCAGCCCACTGAGGAACAAATGGGCTGGGAGGTCAGTTCCTTAATCTTAATTATTCAAATTCTCATGACCATTGATCAGCAACCACTGACCAAAACCCGCTGATGAAAGAGTACCGAGCCATGAGTACCGTTCACAGAGAATTGTGGAATGGCTGAAATCACAGCATTGTAAGATGGGGAAAGATGTACCGTTAGGCCCCCTCCTCGTTTCAGAGATGGTCTTTCCCTTTTCACATAAATGGCCTCCTTGACTCCGCGGCTTTGGCTGCATTTCAATGCAATAAATGCAGCTGGCCACTGTGTCAGTGGGGATGGTGTTCGCTCTGTGTTGTAGCATCCTGATGACACCCAGTTTGTGCTCCAGTGGATGATGAGAGTCAAACCTTAAATACTGATCCGTATGTGTAGGTTTACGGTACACCAGCTTTTAGATGTCCCCCATTACTGATGGAAATCTAAAACTTACTGGTAATAGTAAAATGGTAAATGGCCTGTATTTATATAGCGCTTTACTAGTCCCTAAGGACCCCAAAGCGCTTTACATATCCAGTCATCCACCCATTCACACACTGGTGATGGCAAGCTACATTGTAACCACAGCCACCCTGGGGCGCACTGACAGAGGCGAGGCTGCCGGACACTGGCGCCACCGGGCCCTCTGACCACCACCAGTAGGCAACAGGTGAAGTGTCTTGCCCAAGGACACAACGACCGAGACTGTCCAAGCCAGGGCTCGAACCGGCAACCTTCCGATTACAAGGCGAACTCCCAACTCTTGAGCCACGATCGCCCTTACGTATACCGTAAACCTACACATACGGATCAGTATTTAAGGTTTGACTGAGTAAATGGGTTATCCCAGCTGGACTTTTGTCAAAGCTGGAAAGGCACCTAAAGAAAGCTCCAGCTGATCCAGGAGAGAAGGACAACCGCTGCCTAAGCGAAAACCTGTAGTGATCCCGTATGTGTCAGGAGGATGGAGCAGTTGAGACACATTTTTTCTAAACACCGGGTCTCTGTGGCTTTTAAACCCCAAACACGCTGCACCAAAAAATTGGTCCACCCCAAGGATCGGGTCCCCCGACACAACAGAGTAACATAGTGTACACTGCTAAGTGCCAGGAGGACTGCCAGGATTTATACATCGGGGAAACCAAACAACCTCTGGTCTATTTACACCTACAGGCCAGTGGACACTCTTTCAAGGATGAGGATGTACACATCTTGGACAGGGATGGGTGGTATCGTTTGGTTTTATCCATACCAGTACCAAACCGGTACTTTTGAAACAGTGCCGGTGCTTAAAGTAATGGAGAAGAACACAAATTTGTCCAAAAACCTCTCATGTTCAGCTGGGGGTGGGGGGGGGGTGGGGGGGGTGGGGGGGTGGGGGGGGGGGGGTAGACTTTTGTAAAAAGATAACAATGTTAGCCTTTTCTGCAGCTATAGGGCATATATGGTATCACTCTTGGCTGGAAGCAGTGCTTAAACAATGGAAAAAAACACAAACTTTGTCCAAAAACCTCTCATGTTTAGCTGTTTCCACTTTTTCTTTGGTCATTTTAGCCTTTTTGGCCAGGGTGAAGGGAGTATCTGCCATCAAACAAGAAGACAGCCGCATGTAGCTATGATGATGTTTGCTAGTTCACCTTACATGCATTAATGTAATAACGTGGTTAGCCTACTCAACGTAAATTACACACGAACAACATTAAGCTACTCACGCAGAGAAGAACGGCTGCTGCTGCATCATCATCCTCATCATTTCTGCTACACTGGCAGGGCTAGGGGCCAGGACTCTCCTCTTCGGGTTTTTGGGGGATGTTGCTAACTCCGGGTCGATAACAGGCACCACACCCGCAGTAGATGTGCTCGGTGTGAGGTCTCGCAGCAAGCTATCAAATACGGCGCATTTCTCGGCTTTTAAAAAAACGCTATACGTCGCCAGGTGTTTCATCAGATTCGAGGTGTTACCTCCTTTGCACAGTATCAGCTTAAAGCACTTGTTGCAGGCTGCTGGGTTTGCATATTTTGCTGTGAAGTACAGCCAGACTTTTGACCGCTTTGCCTTGGACATTTTTAATCTGTAGCTCTGCTCTAAAAGAACATATGTACCTGTGCCCGCTTACTACGCTTGCAAAGGTAAAATGATTGGCTAGAATTCAAAGCATATTACATCTCAGGGGGGGAAGCACTGAAAGAAAGCACAGAAATGTGCTGTGAATGTGTAACACAGTCATGTGTGTACAGAGTGTACAGTAGGGGACTCAGTACACAGCCTGGTTGAGAGCCGGTGTTGAGGCTGAGGGCTGAGGAAAGATGAGGCCCCACTCTAACTCTCTGTACACGATCTGAGAGGAAGTCTCTGATCCAGCGGCAGGTGGTAGAAGGAAGTCCAATTTCCAGCAGTTTAACTATTAGTCTGTCTGGAAGTATCGTATTGAAAGCAGAGCTAAAGTCAACAAAGAGCAGCCTGGCGTAACGGCCTTGCACTTCCAGGTGAGAGATGGTGGTGTGGAGCGTTGTAGCGATGGCATCTTCAGTTGATCTGTTAGCTCTGTATGCAAACTGGAGCGGGTTGAGTGTGGGTGGCAGGCAGGACATGATGTGACGTCGGACCAGTTTCTCGAAGCACTTCATTATAACAGGTGTTAGAGCAACTGGTCGGTATTCGTTGAGGCTGCTAATGTTAGTACGCTTTGGCAGTGGGACAATTGTGGCTGACTTTAGGCACGGCGGGATGCAGGACTGGGACAGTGAAGTGTTGAAGATTTTAGTGAAGACCCCAGCCAGCTGGTCTGCACACTCTTTTAGGACCCTTGCGGTTACCCCATCTGGTCCGGCGGCCTTCCTGGGGTTCACTGCCCTCAGTGTGCGCCTCACCTCATATTCCTGCACTATGAGGCTTGGGCTGCTGCTGCTGTCC